TACAATCTAAACTAGATGCCCTCAATCTCATACAAATTATCAACGAACCTACCAGGTACAACCCGAAATCTGTAAACATGTGCACCCTCATAGATATCATCCTGACAAATTTACCCTCTAAATACACCTCCGCTGTCTTCAACCAGGATCTCAGCGATCACTGCCTTATTGCCTGCGTTCGTAATGGGTCCGCGGTCAAATGACCACCCCTCATCACTGTCAAACGCTCCCTAAAACACTTTAGCGAGCAGGCCTTTCTAATTGACCTGGCCCGGATATCCTGGATGGATATTGACCTCATTCCGTCAGTAGAGGATGCCTGGTTGTTCTTTAAAAGTGCTTTCCTCTCAATCTTAAATAAGCATGCCCCATTCAAAAAATTCAGAACTAAGAACAGATATAGCCCCTGGTTCTCCTCAGACGTAACTGCCCTTGACCAGCACAAAAACATCCTGTGACATACTGCATTAGCATCGAACAGCCCCCGCGATATGCAACTTTTCAGAGAAGTCAGGAACCAATATACACAATCAGTTAGGAAAGCAAAGGCTAGCTTTTTCAAACAGAAATTTGCATCCTGTAGCACTAACTCCAAAATGTTTTGGGACACTGTAAAGTCCATGGGGAATAAGAGCACCTCCTCCCAGCTGCCCACTGCACTGAGGCTAGGAAACACTGTCACCACCGATAAATCTACAATAATCGAGAATTTCGACAAGCATTTTGCTACGGCTGGCCATGCTTTCCACCTGGCTACCACTACCCCGGCCACCAGCTCTGCACCCTCCGATGCAACTTGCCCAAATATGTAGTGGCCCTCACTACATATTTGTCGCCAAACCCACTGGCTCCAGGCCATCTATAAATCACTGCTAGGCAAATCTCCGTCTTATCTTAGCTCACTGGTCACCATAGCAACACCCACCCGTAGTCTGCAGCAGGTATATCTCACTGGTCATCCCCAAAGCCAACACCTCCTTTGGCCGCCATTCCTTCCAGTTCTCTGCTGCCAATGACTGGAACGAACTGCAAAAATCTCTGAAGCTGGAGACTCTTATCTCCCTCACTAAATTTAAGCGTCAGTTGTCAGAGCAGCTTACCGATCACTGCACCTGTACACAGCCATTCTGAAATTAGCCCACCCAACTACCTCATCCCCATATTGTTATTTATTTTGCTAATTTTGCACCCCAGTATCTCTATTTGAACATCATCTTTTGCACATCTATCATTCCAGTGTTAATACTAAATTGTAATTATTTTGCACTATGGCCTATTTATTGCCTTACCTCCATAATTTACTACATTCGCACACACTGTATATATATTTTCTGTTGTATTTTTGACTTTATGTTTTGTTTACCCCATATGTAACTCTGTGTTGTTGTTTTTATCGCACTGCTTTGCCTTATCTTGGCCAGGTCACAGTTGTAAAGGAGAACTTGTTCTCAACTGGCTTACCTGGTTAAATAAAGGTGGGAAAAAAAAACTGAGACTGGCAGGGGCCCTGGGCACAGTGGGCAGAGAGGAAGGTTGAGTAGTGCTGATTAGGAAGGTCATCCTCTCTGTGCACCTGGGAGACTGGGTGTTAAGCCTCAGTACACAAAGGAGTGCGCACATGAAGGCACGTGTAGACACACACGGCAGTGGAGGAACAAACACAAGCACGGACGCGTACACACACATATCCACACTCTTTTTTGGTCTAATTTCATCTCGCCAGAAGGGATATGTCTGGCAGACAACCTCTACTCACATCCAGTCTTAAACCAGAAAGATTGTTTAGAACATTTTTATAGTTTCTAAAATAAACTGAGACTACTGCTACTGGTTTCTGTGAAGTTGCAACTAATGTGACTCGTCCCATTGCAGTAAAACTAATACAACTACACACAGCTTTCATAACCCATTGTCAAAAATAGCAGTGCGTGGGTAAAATCAATGGCGAAGCAACCAAAAAAAGCCATATTACAACCTATGTGTTGTGATAATTGTGTTGTTCGCTTCGTATACCTTGTGACCGTGATACAGTGTATTCGGAAAGTTTTCATACCCCATCACTTTTTCCACATTTTGATACATTACAGCCTTATTCTAAAATGGATTACATCGTTTTTTTTCCCTCATCAAACTACACACAATACCCCATAATGACAAAGCAAAAACTGGTTTTTAGAAATTGTTGCTAATTTATTGACAATAAAAAACAGAAATATTACATTTACATAAGTATTCAGACACTTTACTCAGTACTTTGTTGAAGCACCTTTGGCAGCGATTACAGCATCGAGTCTTCTTGGGTATGACGCTACAAGCTTGGCACACCTGTATTTGGGGAGTTTCTCCCATTCTTCTCTGCAGATCCTCTCAAGCTCTGTCAGGTTGGATGGGGAGCATTGCTGCACAGCTATTTTCAGGTCTCGCCAGAGATGGTCGATCGGGTTCAAGTCCGGGCTCTGGCTGGGCCACTTAAGGACATTCAGAGACTTGTCCCGAAGCCACTCCTGTATTGTCTTGGCTCTGTGCTTAGGGTCATTGTCCTGTTGGAAGGTGAACCTTCACCCCAGTTTGAGGTCCTGAGCGGTCTGGAGCAGGTTTTCACCAATAATCTTCCTGTACTTTGCTCCGTTCATCTTGATCCTGACTAGTCTCCCAGTCCCTGCCGCTGAAAAACATCCTCACAGCATGATGCTGCCACCACCATGCTTCACCATAGGAAAGGTGCCAAATTTCCTCCAGACGTGACGTTTGGCATTCAGGCCAAAGAGGTTGGTTGGTTTCAGCAGAGAACCTTGTTTCTTATGGTCTGAGAGTCTTTAGGCGCCTTTTGGCAAACTCCAAGCGGGGTGTCATATGCCGTTTACTGAGGCTTCAATCTGGCCACTCTACCATAAAGGCCTGATTGGTGGAGTGCTGCAGAGATGGTTGTCCTTCTGGAAGGTTCTCCCATCTCCACAGTGGAACTCTAGAGCTCTGTCAGAGTGACCATCGGGTTCTTGGTCACCTCCCTGACCAAGGCCCTTCTCCCCCAATTGCTCAGTTTGGCCGGGTGGCCAGGTCTAGGAAGAGTCTTAGTGGCTCCAAACTTCTTCCATTTAAGAACGATGGAGGTCACTGTGTTCTTGGGGACCTTCAATGCTGCAGACATTTTTTGGTACCCTTCCCCAGATCTGTGCCTCGACACAATCCTGTCTCAGAGCTCTACGAACTATTCCTTCGACCTCATGGCTTGGTTTTTGCTCTGACATGCACTGTCAACTGTGGGACCTTATATAGACAGGTGTGTGCCTTTCCAAATCATGTCCAATCAATTGAATTTACCACAGGTGGACTCCAATCAAGTTGTAGAAACATCTCAAGGATGATCAATGGAAACAGGATGCACCGGAGCTCAATTTCGAGTGTCATAGCAAAGGGTCTGAATACTTATGTAAATAAGGTATTTTTTTAATATATTTTTTAACACACTAACATTTATACAAACCTGTTTTCGCTTTATCATTATGGGGTATTTTGTGTAGATTGCTGAAAAAAACAAACATATATTTAATCCATTTTAGAATAAGGCTGTAACGTAACTAAATGTGGAAAAAGTCAAGGGGTCTGAAGGCACTGTAGTTCCTCATTTTTTATATCACTGAGCTAAATTATTACAAACTAGCTAGCTAAATTATTACAAACTAGCTAGCTAAATGATTACAAACATTGTGACAGTGATTTAATAGTTTGCAATTGTGAGAAAATAAAAACAAACCGGTAGCTATCTCCTGCACAAATTCTGTGCCAGGATGTTGGTCACCAGTGCAGTGACTCGATCAGCTGTGTCACTAATTGTTGTAGCTAGCTAGCTTACTGACATAGCTAGCTAGTTATCTAGCTATCCCTTCACTGACATAAAAAGCTTGCTTATCCTGTGTAAATTACCCTGAAGTTGTAGACATGCAGCCCCACAATGAAGAGGAACTGACTGCGCAAGGCACTTAACCCTAATTTGCTCATGGGGTGCCGTACTACTATGGCTGACCCTGTAAAACAACACATTTCACTGCACCTATCCGGTTTATGTGACAAGAAAACATACATTTTTTATTCTGAAAAATCAGTCCGTAGATCAGTATGTTTCTCCGCGATCGTATCGTGGGGTCAGCTGAGCGCAGCAGATGATTCGGGAGGCTACTGCAATGACTTATGGCAGAACAACAGCTGCTTCATGAAAACACATAATAATGTAACCATTAGCACTACTAGCTACAGTAGCTTGCTAGCTAGCTTTTGTTGGAAGATTCAACATTGTGTGTGCAGCACTAAGTAGGTAGCTGGTTGGTTAGCAGCATCGTTGCAAAGATGAGTGACTGGCTCAGCTGTTGGACAAATGTATGCTAGCTTTTGTGCCCATAGCCAAACTTCAGAAATAATGCTAATTGAAGCACAATAATCCTTAGCTTGGTGTAAAATGGGGCGACTTCCTCACCAAAAAAACATAAACATTATTTACATATTCATTGTTTTAGCTTAGATTAATCAGACAGTTTTGAGGCAGAAATTAGGTTCAGCAGACGATGTCACCTACTGTAGGTCAAATTTTTTTATGTTATGGCAGCCCATGTAGCCGGCCTACTTTTCATCTATCCCATTACCCTTTGCGAGATATGAGACAGATCAGTGCAGGCGGAATCAACGTGCTATCTGATGTAAGACAATGGATGGAAGGATCACTGTCTAGGAGGTGTAGATAGTGGTCACCAAAGCCATGTATTTAAAGAGTTGGGCCAACTTTTAGAATTTTGAATATTGTTCTAATTTAAAAAATTCAGTTACATAGCATTATTTAAATATTCCCCATGTAATGTTAATGGAGCGCTAACATGGCTGCCATAGAATGTTGTAGTGTCATGTAAATACATCATAATGCAGAAACCTCAATGGCCCAACCATAGATATGGAACCAGGCCCAACTCTCTAAATACATAGCTCACCAGATAGTGCTCACCATGCCTACCTGACCAGTGTCCTATAGACACCCCGGTACGGTCAGTACAGGAGTTGCTGATGGGGTGGAAGACGGTCTCCCAGCCGCCCGTGGCGTAGCGCCAGTTGTAGGACTCCAGGATGAGGGTGCGCTGTGTGCCGTAGGCGATCATGAAACAGTATACCACGTGGTGCAGCTGACAGCCGTAGCCACAGCCCTTGTTGATGTTACACACCAGCTTCCTTGCCTTACTGCAGTCCTGAGGGTTCTGGTGAGGATGGAGGAGAGGTAGAGGTAGAGAGAGGGAGGGAGAGGGAGAGAGAGACAGAGAGACAGAGAGAGGAGAGAGAGAGAGAGAGAGAGGAGGAGAGAGAGAGGAGAGAGAGAGAGAGGGAGAGGATGAGAGAGGAGAGAGAGGAGAGAGGAGAGAGAGAGAGAGAGAGAGAGAGAGGGGAGCAGAGACAGATGGAGTTAAGAAAAAGTCAGAGGGGGATGGGGGAGAGAGGGACATGGGTGTTAGAACATACATTTGACCTCTTGACCTCTGAGGGTCCTAATAGCTTTCTGAAGTTTTTATGAAACACATCTCTCCTCTTGCTCTTTTTCTCTCTTTCTCTTTCCCTCTCTCTCTCATGACATTACCTTTTATGAGAAATTGAGGCATAAAAGAGATCACCCAAAATATGAGCGAGAGGAGAAACAAAGCATTTACTCTCAAACTGCCACCTTTAAATCACAATGTGACACCATGACACTTTTAAATTACAACGTGACCCCCCTGCCACCTTTAAATCAAGACGTGACACCATACCAACTTTAAATTACGACGGTTCACCATGCCACCATTAAATCACAACAGTTCACCATGCCACCTTTAAATCACGAGGTGACACCGTGCCACCTTTAAATCACGACGTGACACTGTGCCACCTTTAAATCACAATATGATATAGGCCTAACTCTCCCTTGTCAATGTAATCATTCATATTGTATAAACGGCTAAACTGATCCTAAATCAGTACGCCTACTCTGAGATGCTTTGTGAATACGAGCCCTGGCCTGTCTGCATGCTGCTTTCTAGTGATCTAGCTCCCTCTTCATTTGAAATACAACAATACCAAAAACATTCATAAGAATTAGCCTGGTCAGTCAGTAACTTAGTTAACTAATGAAACACTCATGTAAATGTGCACCAGCCTATTCAGCTAAATTGTACCAAAACAACAGCCTATTTGCAGTGAAATCAAGAGGGTGCATTTTTCTTGTCAAGTTTTTCAGTCACCAGTGCATCAATAAACAGTCAGGGGAACGAAGTAGTTTGACAAAAAGGTGTTCACAATAGTCAGCATTATAGATAGCAAATATATAGTTGTTATATTCTAGAACGCTAGATACAGTCCACTTAGCTAACTAAGGTGGTGAACTCAGACTGGTGGTGGGAGTTATGTAACGTTATCTAAATTTCCCCCAGCAGTTTCAATCTAGCTAGCTAGCTAATGGTATTTTAATCAACTTTATCAATCAGAGGGATAGCTTAACGAATATAGCTAGCTATTCGTTTTTCCCTCGCATCTAAAGTTGCCTGATACAGCTTGCCAGTTGCTAGTAAAGTAGGATGAATAAGTCAGAAGTCAGCTAGCAATGCCTAGTTCATCCCTTTAACCAACAAAAACCAAGTATAAAAGAGACAATTACAGATCATTTTAGTTTTATTCTAGAACTTCAGGCCGAGGAGTAATAACTACTTCTTTGTAGAACCGGTGTCTTCACCAGATGTCGTCCCCAGTCAACTCCAGAGTCTTCACCTGAACCAATTCCTAAATATACGTTTACACTGCGATGCGAATATCTCGCTCATTAGGCTGTCAAAGCTGTATCTGTTTGGCCATTATCAAGGCAGAAAGGGCATCTGGCAAGCGCTAACATTATCACAACTCTTGTCTGTTAAAAAAACTAGAGGAGAGCTAACGTTCCTTAACCATATTACCGCCGGCGTTCAATAACAAGTGTTCCATAATAACGTGAACAATACAAGGAACAAACAAGCCACTGGGAGGATTTCCTTTGAGGAATCTGTGTGTGTGTGCGTGTGTGTGTGTGTGTGCCTGCATGCACGTGTGTGTTTGAGGAATTTTGCTCCTGTATTCTCCGTATTGGCCCCATAGGTATCACACTTACAGTTGATATAAATACTAATAACCTGGTGTGTTGTCTCGAGTCTCGACAACAAAGACATGAAAGGCAGCTTTACACAAGCGAGCCACAGAGCGCCTCTTTCAGAGCATGGTGTTAAATAAGAATGACAAACAACCATAAGAGTACAACCTCTGAACTACTTTGGTTCTTTAAAAATGATAGGTTAATGCATTACAGAAGTGCTAGGAGACAGAGTTGAATGGTAATTATAGGGCGAGTGGAATACAAAAAGGTTCCCAATTACTACTATAGGTTAAGTAGTCCTTCAAAAGCCGCAGTAGACTGAAAATGTGTGTGTGTGTGTTTGTGTGTGTGTCAGTGAGTGATGGAGAGAG